AGTGGATATGTTAACAGGACGCCCACCTTATGAATAGTTGCCTGAAAATGTGTCAGAGTTTGTGAAAGTGTTATCGGAAAGAATGGATGATATTCACTATCAAGTGCGTTCAAACTTGCAAACATCAGCTGATTCCATGAAGCTATGTTATGATAAGAGGTCTACTGAAGTCAGCTTTCTACCAGGAGCCAAGGTGTGGTTGTATAATCCCAGGAAGACCAAAGGGAAGTCTCCTATGTTGTCTTCTCCATGGGAAGGCCCATATGACATAGTGGATCGTCTCTCAGACGTGACTTTCCAAATAAAATGTGGTCGGTGAGGTAAGCCAAAGGTGGTGCATGCTAACAGGCTTTGGCGTTATCATGGTCCAGGACATTTCAGTTGGTACAAAGTGAACAACGAAACAAATGACGCTGCTGAAGATGTGTCACCTGAAAAAGGCACTGTCAAAGAAGAAACTCTACCCAGTTTTGAGAAGGGAAACAGTGAAGTTACTACCACTGATGTGACTGTTACCGATAATAGGACATTTCCTGATAGAGCAGATGAACCCCACGTGAAGCAAAAGCCAACGAGATGGAGACCAGTACGGAAGAAGTCCCGTAAAATTAAGAGACTTTGTTGAATTGTAATTTTGTGTTTGTAAATTATGTACATTTAATTAAGCTATTGTTAATTATCTATTGGTTTAATGTAAGTGGCTATTGTTCAGGACGAACAATACTAAGGAAGGGGCTGTGTTATGACAGCCGAAGTCACGTGTTGCTGGTAACAAATCATGAGTTTCTAGAAGGATCATGTCTCTTCCTGGCAATTGTAGTCTTTTCTACGTGCCCTCTATTCTAGTATATTAGCCTGCAAATAAAGCGGAGGAACAATTGCAGATAGGGAGATATAGAGACGGATAATCGAGTCAAGCTGTAAGTAAAGGGTGTAAATCGTTGTGAATTATAGCGTGTTTTTTAAGTTAAAGTGACTGTGGAAATTCTGTGTATTATAAAGTTGTATCGAGAAATAATAAACTAGTTTTAATTAAGAAAGGACTTGTATTACTACAGTTTCATCGGAAAGAAATTATACGGGAAATTAACAAATGAACAGAGATGTAACAATACCATACCACAAGAAGATAGTAACCCATGGTATATTCTATACCACAGTAATAACTGAGACCACTGACACAAGAAGTGTGCACATAATTGAAAAATAATGGTTTTTAAAATGTTATAACCACAAAGCTCCACATAACTTGCTTTCATGGCAGAAAGCTATAATTAAATTACAAAATGATTATAAATAATTTTGAATACTTAACTCATAAATGCACCAGTATTGTTTCACATACTGATATCAAAGAAAATTCTTTAATACACAAAATATTTCAAATACACTTTGTTCTATGTAATAAGTTCTCAGATACATTTAGCTCAGTATCAAACTCATTATGCTAAATGAGTTACAAAACCCTTAAATTCTACAAGAACTTGTATTTAACATTTATTTATTGTTAAAGCAAATTCAAACATTATGAAATATACCAGTAAATGAATATTCATGTAATCTAGTGAAGGTCTAAAACATTACATTAAATATATCAGAACTGAAATTTGTCAATAAAAGTCTCATCAGTGCTATGATAGTGCAAATTCTTTGTTTACAAATTTTAATTAACCACTTAACTATTACACAATTTTTTCTGAGTAATAAATTTTACCTCTAGAAATAAAACCAATAATGAACATACAGCCACCATATAAAAAATATAAACTTATTATTTATCTCACTAAAATAACTTGAATAAGATAAGGGCTGAGATGTTTAGTATATTATAATAATGAAATTTAATTGTTTAAATGACATATTTATATGCTTCTGACTTTAGATATCAATAAAATTATAAATACTTATGAAAAATCAGATTTGTGTTAACTTACTTCAAAAAACAAACCATCAGGAAAGGGTCTGAAACACTGGCAGCATCTACTCATGCAAATATGTTTATGATTAGAAACATCTCATACATTTAATATTAAAGGACAGCTTTATGCAATAAGAACATTAAAACAATAAAAGTACAGAAAAGATCACCAAAACATCCATGATTGGGTAATAAAAAAACATTTAAATTTAGAAAATCATAGTAACATGCTGCTGTACCTTCCAGGAATTTTTAGCTCATTGTGAAAGTAGTGGTAAAAAGAATAAAAAAAATATGTGTAAACAGGAATTTCAAAAGTAATCACAAGTTAAGAAGTGGGAAAGTATAACAACTTGAGATATATTTTTCAACGGGCTAGAACTAAATTTTAAGAAACGTTTTCCTAATGAAGGCCAATGTTCCTGTTGAACATCAAAAATCTGCCTCATAAGTATTTTGGATTTATAAAAGTGAAATTAAAATCTGAGATTATCAAGGTCCAAACTTTGGTAGCTTATGGTGACAATAAGTAGATCCAAATTTATCCTATAACAATAAAAATACATTTTTGTCTGAAGATTGTGTATTTTAAATATTTGTTCTAGTTTAACAACAATAGTTAATATACTTGTCATCATCATTCTTTCTTAGACATAAATATCTCTCTAAAACTACAAAAAATTCATCACAAAGATTCTATTTCACCAAGTATCTTATCAAAAGTTTGTGGTTTGTGTTCATTTGAATCTTTTAAAAGAATCTTGCTCTAGATTTCAACGAAAGTATTGTGTTGCATTGTATATTAAAAAGTACTCTGTAATAATAAAGGAATTTTTTCAAAAGCATTCACCTTACTCAACAAAAGAATAAAATTGCATTCACCAGATTGTTTTTCATATGAACTTTGTTTAGTGATTTAAGTACTCTCTTCCTTACCAAAAAAACTTTTAACTCAATAATTTGTTAAGTAGTATTGTTTCTGTTTAGGTATCTTGAAAATATTATGTTTACTGGAGAATCTCTTTGAAATAATTTTGCTTTTTAAGAGTTTATGATGAGACTTTCCTTTAATTAATAGGTGATATATTGGCAATTATAGCAATTGTTTTTGTCAAATTGGAAATTATATTTTTATTGCCCCAAAATGAATTATCAAAATTTTCATCATCTTAGCATACAGTACAAAAATGTGTGAAATAATTTTATTAATTGTACTTTTTTTAGCTGTAATCAAATCATTTTGTAACCTGAACCAACAACTGTTGTGATTTGTCATTTTAAGAAATGCATTGATCTGAAAAATATCATATCATTACATCCAAGGTCCAATAGAGTTTCTGGATAATAATGTATAAATTGTGTATGCAAGAAACAACAAGCATTATTTGCTTAGAATTTTTTAACCTTGTGCCTTTTATCTTTGTGATGCCAGTAAATAAACAAACTTTTTTCCTCTTTAATAGTAATATAATAACACATTATCATCTAGCCCCCAATGACTCAGTGGTTAGTCTGAAAGCTTTTTATGTTAAAAACCAGGTTCTGATACCCATGGTGGGCACAGCACAAATAGCCTATTGTGGATCTTTGTGCTTAACAACAAACACTCTATCATCTATTTCATGAAGTACATAACATGTCCACGTTAGCTATTCAAATGTCATGCTGTGTTATCCAGAATTGTGATTATTTAATATAAAAATGTGAAGAAACTAAATACAAACTTGTAAATGCAGATATTTATTAGATTTGTTTTCAGAATAAAAAGTTCAAAACCATCAATTTTAAACACAGAAAAGCATAACTGGTTGAGTCACCAAATCCTCCCTTCCATTTTCTTTATCTGCCTAACTTCTAAATTAATGCAATGGCAATAATATTACAGGAAAAATATTTTCGTTATTCACAATCACTAAGGGTGTTCTAACTGGTTTTATTAATATCAGAATTTTAAAACTTTTTTCATATAGTCTCTTTCTATGCACTTTTGATATAAACAGGTGTTTCAGAAAACTGCTGAAATTGTTTCATTCTAGTTGATTTTGTATCTTTGTTGTTTTCTAGCAGATAGTATCTACTTTACCCACTGGGATGTTGCTATAGCTTTACACATTGTATAGCAATAAGTCATTTGCACTGATTTTTTTGGTGGCCAAGTGGATGATATCTAGAGAATGATAGCGCTTTTGTGTAAATCCAAGGTTACCTTTTAATATGGAACATCAGTTTTAGCCAAGAATAGATCTACCTCTAGTCCTACTTAGTTCAAGATGTAAGTTGCTCAATGGAAACACATTTTATGAAGTTATAACTGTTCTTTGATTCAGAAGGAAAGTAGGAAAACAACTTTTATAAAGCAGAATTACCCGATACTTGTGTATAAATCAATTTACCCAAGAATACAAAAGTGGCAACTGTTACACAACACCTATAATTAATTTTAATATCAATCAATTATAACAACAGTTACTGAATATCATGCACAACGTTCCAGTAATTTAAAAAAGAAAACTTAAATACTGACATCTTGGCCAGTGTATGTCTTCCAATATTTCTGTTCACCAGGGTAACTTTTCATAGGCATTACATTTGTTTAGGTTATTACTTGAAATGTATTTTGTTAACTGTGACTTTTATATTTATTCTTAAAGTTAAATTGCTTTTTTGTATATTTTCATTTGATGAAGTACACTGGCAGTCTTATTACAATATTAAGTATAAAAATTTTTTTACAAAACTATTCAATTTCTGTAGAAAAAAATAATATTAAGTTACCACAGAACTTACACAAAACATTCTTTATGCCAAACTTCTCCGAGAGAGTTCACAATTTCCTCATGAGGTTGGAACCCTTCTTTACATCGTGAACATATCATTCCTCCTATTGACATTATGGACTTCATGTTATCTGTACTAACAAAGGAAAAACAAAATTTAGAAGGAACAAGTTTAAAAACACTTTACAATTTTATTAGTAAAATTAACTTAATGATATATATTAAATACTTAAAGCAAACATAAAATCACTTTACTTTAAAACCTTTACATTACTTTACCCCTGAGAATAACTGCTGAAGTTATGAGTATCACATATCTGGTAAAATCTGTTGAGGTAAGATCATAGCAAGTAGAATATCTAATGACATAATCTACAGTCAACAAAACATACAGTTCCACATTCTATTCTGACTTAAAGGAAAAATAAAATCACTTTACCTCAAAACCTTTACTTTACACCTGAGATTAACTGCTGCAGTTATGAGAATTAACTAACTGGTAATATCTGTTTAGGTAATGCCACTGCAAGTATAATAAATAATGACGTAATCTACAGTCAACAAAAACAGTTCCACGTTATGTCTAGGTTAATAAATATCCCACAGGCAGAAGTTTCCTATCTTCACAAAATATCATTTATATTTTTCAGAAAGTGATTGTATATTTTTTCTTAAAGTCTTCATATTTATCCTTCTTAAACTAACAACAGCCAGTCTTGATAACTTACATCAGGTGCACAATATAAATTTAATTTTTTTTAACAACTGCATTGACACCTATTTCTAAGAGCATCCACATATTAGCTCATTCTGGACTTCTGGAATTAAATAATGATGACTTATTTCACTGTTTATGACCCTACAAACATATTTGTTTATTATGAGATCAAATTCTTTCATCAATTTCATTTGAAGTAAAAAACTTGATTTTCCAGGGTGACTTAAATGGATGTACAAAAAACTTCATTTATCTCTGCCAAATGCATAACTATTGCAATTTTCCTACTAAATATAACTGTTAAATGTTTCCATTCAATTCTAATTAACACCTGAGCTGCATTAACTACTGTAGAATTTTTTCAATTGAAGTTATAATTCCTTTCATTTCATAAGGTACTCATTCACCTGAAAACTGTTTTTTCATGAGATTTGAATTTTTTTAATGTATTGCCAGAAACAAAAGCATTCATCAGTTGGTTGTATTTTCTTATCTTCAAATAATTTACAAGAAAAACAGAACATTGCAATTAATTTTAAAGAATACCTCAGCCATGGATGTGACAATTTTTCCAGAATTATAATTTCTCAAAAGCAATTATCCTCTACATCATGTCTTTCTGGTTGATTTTCATTGGGTGGAGAAATACAACTTTAACATGTACAGAGACATATTTAACTAATCTCTTATTTGGTCATATATAATTTATGGCCATGAACCAATACCTGAAGTACCAAGTTCTAGTATCTTATTATGATATTTTTTTAACCATTTCTTCGAAATGCAGAAAACCTTTTTCTGATTCTGATACTTTGATGCTTTTTGCTGTTATTTTGTCAGTGTAGTAGAGCTAAAAAATTATCAAGTGTACCTTCTTGGCCATTTTAAGGCTTCCTCTGATTGTTTTCTTTTCTTTCCTTTCATTTCACTACACCATACTTGTATTTCTAGGCCCTTATTCATTTTGTACATAAGTATTAATTTCCATAACCATTAATTAATTTGAGATTATTGTATTAATACTCATTAGCTTAGCTCTTGGTTTAAGTTCTTCACCTGGTTAGCTCTCTTTTTGATTTGTTTTCTTTTGTCACTTTTTGAATCCTTTGTCAGAGGTTATTTCATGATGTTTCTCCAATGTACTACCACATACACAATGTGCAACATAATTGAGTCTTACCTGAAATAGCATAACCTGCAATAATAGTTGCAGGTATGTCATGCATACTATGCAAACTGTAAAGCACTTATGCAAAGCATATTAATTAGTGAATATATTGTACATAAAACATACAAGTTTTAAAGTTTATGATTCATTATTAAAATGTTCTTTGGTGATTGAATATAAATAAACTGATACTTTTTGTTGTACTAAATTATTATAACAATTTAAATATAATAGTGATGTAAATATTTTTATTACATAGATAACTGTATGTTTTAATTGACAAAAACTCTCAAAACTCTTGGCATGGTTAATGAAAACAACCTATTTATCTTCCACATGACCTGAAAACAGTCACTCATGATGCTTAAGTTACTGGTAATTGAAAAATACATATCCAAAGTTGATAAGTAGAAAATTTCTGGAAAGAATTGGATTACCAAAAAAAAAGAAACCTACACTGAACAGGTTAAAAGAAAACTATCAGTAACTTACAGATAGAGCTGTAAATCTAATTAAAAAACCTTGGTTGTAAAGGTTAAAAAAGGATTATACTGACACACAGGAATAGATGAGGTCACAATCCTCACTGAGATCACCCACCCTTGCTGGAGGGTTCAAGGAAAACAGAACATCAAAGCTTGTGACTGATAGGACTTACTAAATACATTTTCAACTATGAACCAAGTATTTGCATGGTCATTGTCAAATTAAAAGATGGAATAACTATTCCATGGAATAAGTACAACCAGAAGTAGATGGCTGACCTATAATCATGTTTACAAGTCGTTTGGATTAAAAAACCTATTGTTTGATATCCAGATTCCCGTAGAAAGTTTATGATAAACCTGTCACCTTGAAATACCACAAAAGGGTCAAAACCATAGGGGAAGTGTCCACAGGACTATAATAACCTAGTACTGAAAGATAGTTATTAAAGTAGATTACTTTTAAAGAACAGGTCACAACCGTAAGGAATTGAGCTTCTGAGAGAAAGTGTGAAATCAGAATGAATGAAGAGTACCAATGTGTGTAGTCATAAAACCTAATGATAACAATGACCTGTTCAATAATCAACTGACAGAATATTAAAGATAATATAGAAGAGAAAAGTAGAAGTGCAATCTTTCACTGTCTTCCAACTTCTACTGAAGATCTTGGAGGTGAGAACATCCCATGAAAATGGCTGAGGTGTTTGATTACAGCTAGTATTCTCAACAGTCAATAAAATTCTATGACCAATACAAAGTTAAGGATAGAAAATATCAACTACTGTCCCTCCGACACAAAAAAACATTGGGGCTACTTTGTTATAGATGCATTTTCTACCCTTTAATTATTGACCAACTGAAAAAAATAAACATGAAATTTAAACATAAAAAATGCAACAAGTGAAAGAAACTCAAACCTATAGAAGTATGGAGAAAAATATCAGATATATCTATGCTTATAATCTAATGACCTTAAACTTTGAATTTCTTTACCTTAAAAAAAGGAAATAACTAATAGTGGCTCAATCTCACGAAATCATTGAAACTCTCTCAGTCTTTGGGAATCACAAACAATTATAAGTAAAATTCCACAGAAGGGTCTATCACTAATTGAATAATATTCTCAGATTGGGTAGGTAAAAGTAAACCACTTTATCCATTAAGATTTGAAAGAGTACTTCATAGAAAGAAGAAAAAAAAAACATGGAAAAGCATGTATAATTTGGATGTTAACATCTACAGAAACCATAGTCAGGAAAGTGGAGAAGCATCTGTATGTAAGTAGGAATTGAAGATGTTTGTAATGATCTGGAAAATGGACACAGAAAAACAAAAGAAAAGGAATATTAACCTTAAAAGGCTAAACAGTTAACTATTCAATAGCTCTAGAAGAACCTAAGAAGTAGAAATAGGACTTAGATGCATGTGATGGGAAGAAAAAAATGTTGGTTAGCATACAAGAGATTAGAAGAATAAAACTAAACCATAAAAGCTCACATAAATGCCTACTGTCAAGAGGATTGAGCATGAGTGATGAAAGACCATTTTCACTGAGAGAGAAGAAAACAATTTTTTACAGTAAATCTGAGGAAGATGTTATAACTCAAAGCCACATTTCATCCAATTAAACCAAATTATGAGAGACAGAATACCAGTAATCAAGTCTATGAAAATGAATGAAAGGCAGGTATGAAAAGCACCAGGAAAAGAAAAAAGGTAGACTTGCTTAGAAGAACAAACTACCCAATTTAAAAAAAAGCAAACGAAATTTTACAGATGAAGACCACAACCAAATATCCTAAGATAATACTGTAAACTTTCAAAGGCTCCTCAAAAGGAAATACCCTCAGTAAAAATAGCAAAAGGTAAAAATCAGACAAGGGGATAAAATTATCTCTTTCTAGCCAAAGAAAGTAAACAGATTGTAAAGCTAACAAATATTTTTAACAAATAGGAAAGAAAATCCATATGAGAAAATATCCTTAGAGAAAAATTAAAACTAGACTATGAATGATACAAATCAATATCTGAGAGAAAAAGGTACTTTCCTAATTAAATAGTCAACCATATCAAGCCAAACTCAAATAGATAATGGTAATGAAGAGAGGATATGCAAAGCATATCAAACAATAATGTATTCATATCTTGAGGAAAATATAATTCTTCCAAAAATGAACAGTAAATTTGAAAGATGACAGATTGCAATACTTCAAGGTAAAAAGTGTCCCATAGAATTCTTTCTACAACTGAAATTAGAAAGATATGATAGACAAAAAAGTTTTCCTAACTGCCGACCTTACATGTTTTATGTATGAAAAACACATATTAAATACACACACATATATATATATATATTGTTGCGTATCTGCTTGTTTGTTAATTTCCAGTACAAATTCTTTCCGAGGAACTTCAGCAATACAAGTTCTTTCTTAATTAAAACTAGCTTATTTTTTCTTGATACAACTTTTGGCCTTTGTTGTTCCCAAACATCATTTTATCAAAGTTAACTACACACTTCCTTGGTAGTAAGTAGTCCAACCCTAGTATGCATGGGTCTTCAATGTCAGCCAAGTATGCTTTGTATCTATCCTTTATGGCCATTGAGCTCAATAGTTACCCACACTGGTCCCCACAACCTTGTACAATGTCCTGTCACACTACAGAGTTTCTATATGGCTTCTGGTACTCTCTTGTGATCTAGGACCTTAATACTCACAAGGGTTTGCTGAGATGCAGAATCTATGACAAAGGTGCACTTTTGG